TAAGGTTTTCAGTGACTAAAGAATCAGAAGTATTTTGTCACTTCTTTCTAGTCTGTTTTTGGAAGCTCATTTGAAACCTGTCCACCATGGGTGACCCTGCTGGTATTTAAAATACCTGTAGCATAGCTTCCAGAATCACAGCAACTCAAAAGGCACCACAGTATGACAAACTTACAGACGAGTGGTGGTGATTATCATTAGCCAGGTCTAAAATGGTGTGGCACTGTGGGATAAAGCACTGGACTGCAAGGTCAGCAGTTCAAACCCAGTAGCCATTCCTTGGAAACCCTGTACGGGTCGCTATGGGTTGGAACTGACTTGACAGGACTTAATAGCAGCAGCAATGATACTAATAAGGATTAATTGCGTGTTACATTAACAGGCAAGCTCTGAAGCAACCATCTTGGGTGCAGTATCTCATTTACTTCTTGCACATAGGCCAAGTGATAGGTGCTATGGTTATTATCACTAATTTAAACATGAACCCTTTGGCTGAGGCAGGTTGAAAATTTGTCCAAGGTTTCCCAGCTGAAGGGGAGAGTTTGGGGCCGAAGAAGGGAAGTATTTAGGCTTGCCTGACTCCAGAGACCTTGCTCTTTAACATTGTCATTCTTCAGTGTTGAGTATTTCTTTAGTTAGTGGTTGGCCTCTGAATAGAATATAGCTGTTCTTGTTGTTAATGCCGTCGAGTCAGTTCTGACTCATAGTGACTCTGTATAGGGTTTCCGAGGAATGGCTGGTGGGGTTGCACTGTTGACATTTGGTTACATATGATTAAATACAAACTTTTGAATGGCTGAGCTTGGGTGCTTTCTGAGTCTCTGAGTAATACCATACCACTCATTGACAATAAGCATTGTACATTCATGTGAAGTAGCCTACACTTAAGTACTTAATAATGGAGAATATTTTTGGAGGGTGTTGTATGTATAGGGCAAGTGGGTTGGGGCTTGGAAATAAATCCGGAGAGATTTGCTGTTACTGTATATACCCTGAAGAATTAGGGTGAGCAGAAACTTACAAATATCACTTGGGCAGTTTCACTTAGGCAGCTATGGCTACTGTTTGGTTGGGGGGGCTTCAGACCATTGGACAATAGTAATAAAGGAATTTTCCTCCCTTGATTTCTTTGACTGGAAGAGAGAAAATGAAGGGGAAAAGGATGTCATCAATCCATAAGGATTAAATAAGTGGGAAACCAAATGTGTACACAGGTTCTTGTATTTGTCTTGGTTCCAGTTCTGCCTGCCCCAGTCTTACCCTTCTTCTGTTTTTTCCACAGCTAATACTTTAATCTTTGCGCACCCATCCTTTCCCCCTATGCATATTCCTATGTAGATTGTTGCTGCCGTTTAATGTCATTGAGTCGGTTCCTACTCTGTGTATAAAGATTCTGAAGAGAAACTGGAGGGTTTGAACTGCAGACCTTGTGGTTCGCAGTCCAGTGCTGATCCTTCAGTGCCATAACAGGAGATATATGTTTTAAATAAAATTGGAATCATTCTTTGTTTACTATTTTTATAGTCTATATTTTCCACTTATATTGTAGACACAATCCTCCTTTTAATCCCTACAGTCATTCTATTTTAACTTTTTTAAAATTCCCTTTCTGGCAGGGTTAAATAAATTATGAAGTTGAACATTTGACTAAACACTACATTTTCCACTGCCATTGAATTGATTCCAACTCATAGCTACCCTATCTAGGGTTTCCAAGGCTGTAAATCTTTATTGGAGTGCAAAACCTCATGTTGGGAGACAGGAGCAGCCGGTAGGTGTGAACTGCTGACTTTCATCTAGGTTGGTTCTGACTCTTATTGACCCGATATAGGGTTTCCAAGGAACAGGGCAATGGTTTGAACCACTGACCTTGCAATTCAAACAACTTGCAGTCCAACTTGTGGTACAGCCACACTAGGACTCCATTGTTGTTAAGTGCCATCGCATCGGTTCCGGCTCATAGTGACCCTGTATAGGGCTTCCAAGGAGCTACTGGTGAGCTTGAACCACAAGGTTGGTGGTTCAGGCTCACCTGCAATCTAGCACATTAATTCACAGTGCCACACCAGGCTTCTACTAGTCACTAAAAATCATGGCTTCTAAAGCATGAAATAATGTCTTCATTTATAAAAATTCTATAAGCATCTGCTCCTGTAAAGATTTATAACCTTGGAAACCCTAGGGAACAGTTCTGTTCTGCCCTGCGAGGTTGCTGTGAGTTGGAATGGACTCTTATTGTTGTTGTTAAGTGCCATTGAGTTGGTTCTGACCCATAGTGACCCTTTATAGGGTTTCCGAGGAGCAGCTGGTGAGCTTGAACCACCAGCCCTTGCAGTGGGAAAGTGGTCAGGGTGGGGGAGGACGTTCGCATCTTTGATAATGTGGCCTGTCTTAAGGTGTGGTATGTTACAGCTGAGTCCTGGTATGGACTTCTTTAGAAAAGTGTAGGTACTTCTGTGGGAATCCTTTAGATGGCAGCAGCACCCACCACAAACTGTAGTGTGAACAGAATTTCTCAAGATGCACAAAATATTTGACACAAACGGATGATCAAAGCTCACGGTAATCACCCCTTCATTATGCTGAATATAGAGCTAGGGTACGACAGGTTCCGACTGTAGCTCGGGAGCTATGGACCCCTGCCCTACCACTTGTTCTTTTGCGAATGTAAAATATTTCCTGTCTCTGTATCCTTATTAAAAAAGTATATACTTACACTGTAAGTATAAATAAAGCAACTGAGTGAGTGATTTTGTACCACGTAGTAATGTTTGAAAGGAACAGACAGAATAGATCGTCTGTTTCTAACCATTTTATTTACATACCCTGCAGTTCAACCATTTGACAATTAACAATTGTATGGATTTTATTGTATTTTCAAAAGCAGTCCTGGTTAGCGCTGTGGATTCTGGCGAAACCATTTGAACTGCAAGGTCGTCAGTTCAAGCTCACCAGCTGCTCCTGGGAAACCATATACAGGGTTGCTATGGGTCAGAATTGACTCAATGGCATTTAACAACAAGACTACAAAGTTGGTTTGATCTTCAAGGTCAACGGTTCAAGCTCACCAGCCGCTTCTTGGAAATCCTATACAGGGTCCTTTTGGGTTGGAACTGACTCGGTGGCACTTAACAACAAAGCCCCTATCCCTCTTAGCCATCACTTCCAACCCTCCATCTTGCCCCTAGCCCCCTCCCAAGTCCTTGGCACCCACTGACTGGCTTTCTGTCTCTAGATTTGCCTATTCTGGACCTTTCATACCAATGTAATAATGCAATAATGTGTTCTTATAACTGGCTTCTTTTACTTAGCATGATGTTTTCAAGGTTTCTCCATATTGTAGCAGGATTCAGTACTTCCTTTTTATAGCCTAGTATGTATTCCATTGTGTGGATACATGTTTTGTTGTTATGAAGATATGTGGCTGCTGTAGACATTTGTGTATGAGTTTTTGTGTGAGTATGTGTTCATAAAGGTGGTCATATGATAATTATGGGGAACACAGTAGTTCTTACACAGTCATCACTTGACTGTGAGCCACAAGATTGATGGTTCGATCCCACCAGTCTTTCTCTCTTGGAGAAGGATGAGGCTTTCTACTCAAGTAAAGAATATATATAACCTTATGTACAGGGTTGCAATGACACTTAACAACAACATGGTCACTTTATGTGTAACCTTTTGAGGAGCTGCCAAACTCTTTTCCAAAGTGGCCATGCAACTCTGTATTCCCACCAGCACTGTGTGAGAGGTCCATGCAGTCTCATTAAGCATTTTAGATTTTCTAATGATAAGTGGATAGAGGTTGGGAGGGTGGATATAAGATAAGACTCAGTCTCTCCTGTGTCCCTGAATCCCTTGGCTCGACTAGCTGATAGGCTTTTCTGAAGGCGGCAGCTGTGTGAGCTGCCAGGAAAGCAATCTTCTTCTGTGTCCCACACAATCACTGTACGTCACCAGCCTGATAAAATGTGCCTGTGTTACATGGCTGCTTAGAGCGTGTTGATATTACAGTCCGGCTGTTTGTAATCCTTGTCTCCTGACTTTGGAGATACCAAGCAACCAAATAGTCTTTGTCCCAGTTAGAGAAAAATTCTGAATAAAGAGCCCTCAACCACAAGCTGCCCAGGTTTGAACATGTCAAAATTACTTACTTGACATACACCAAAGACAGCTGCAGAGACTTCATAGCAAAAAATGCAGCTTTTGTTTTTGTCAGAGTTTACATTCTCAAAACTAAACTGACCCTTTTTTTTCTCTGGCAGTCCTGACTGGACGTTCCTGCATCTGTACTAAAATGACTGTGTGTCTGTGTGTGTTTGTATGATTGTGTGGTCAGGGGAGGGGAAGGGGCTGGCACTTCCTTAGGCTTATTTGAGTCCTGGTAAGGACACATACTGTACATTCTGAAGCTTTGTTTGCATCTGGAAAAAATTAGACACACAAAATCTTTCCCACTACAGGTCCTGTCAGGAAGCCTAAGTATGTGGAAAGCCCCAGAGTGCCTGGAGATGCAGTTATAATCCCCTTCAGAGACGTGTCCAAGCCAACAGAGCCCAATGAAAATGGTAAGAATATGTTTTCTGTGATTTTTTCCCCCCCACTCCATTTCATACTGAAACTTGAGTATCTCTGACAGGAATGCTTTACTGAACGTAATGTTAGGGGAAAGTTTTTTTCTTCAGGCAATTACAAAGCTCTATGAAATGAATGTAAATTTGTAGTATTAAATACCAAGTATAGGAATAGTTGAGTGGGTATCCATATGCTATGTTAAAGGGTTGAATCTTACTTCCTTAGAAATTTTGACCCACCCAGGATTGGGGTATGTGAAAAGCCAGCAAGTACACTGTTTCCAAGAATTTTTGTTTTGTGTTTAGTATCCCATTGTTGTATCATGTTACAGTTTTGGTTGTAAAGCTGAAACTGGATAAAGTTGTTATTAAGTGTCATCAAGTTGGATCTGAGTCATAGTGACCTTGTATAGGGTTTCCGAGGAGCAGCTGGTGGGTTTGAACTGGCAACTGTTCTCATCCTCTTGAAAGCATTTGATAGCTTTTGAAAGTTTCTTTTAACATGTAAAATTTCCTATAGGGGACATTGAAATAGGGGCAGAAGAAAAAAATAAACTGATTGGAACTATGTAATGAAGTTTTTTTTTTTTTACTCTTTTTTCAGTATCTGGAAATATGGATAGCAGACATTATGAATTTGTAGCATTTCACAGATGCATTGATAGCTCTTTTATTGTTTAATAAGTCACTTCCAGAATCCACCTGTTTGTTCCTTTGTAGGTAATCCTCAACTCACAAATGCCATCCATGGTCTTGCAATTTGGGGTTTTCTGTAGAAGCATGTCGTTAGGAATGCTGGCCTATGTAGAGAAGCCTGCTTTACCCTCTAGAACTTAGGAAAGCTCACCCTCATCTCCACTGTTAACATCCTCACACTCTCTGCTGATGCTTGGGGGGCAGACTTTTCTTTTAGGTTCTCACCGCTGTGTTTGGATTTTGTGTTTCTAGTGGTGAATTCTGGGGGAGTGGGTATGAGGTAGGAAAACAGAGTGGGAGTGGTTGTGAAAATAAAAAACGAGCTGAGAGGAGAGATTGGCAGAAGCTGTAAACCAGGAAGAGCACAGGAGTTAAGGATAATGGATGAAGAGTTTGGGGTCAGGTGCTGGGAATTCTGGATGGGGAAGAGATGCTATTCCAGGTGTCTTGGTATGATAAATTCTATCCTTTTTCTCTCTGTTCAGGGCCTCAGCAGTTTGGTTTAGGTGAGAGGTTCACATAGAGAGGATTTCTGCTAAGAAGAGGAGGACAGGGTGCCAGGTGTGGGGTGGTGAAGAGAAGAGAATCCACAGTGGTGTTTGCAAAGGACAGCCCTTCACTCACATAGAAAGCCTCTCTCTGCTGTGAAGTGCTTATGTCCAGGGTGTCCATGAGCCTATCTATTCTCTCTCAGTTTTATTTCTTGTGTGGAAAGGAAAATAAAAACCTGTTCCTCTGTGAATATCAGTTACACAATTTACAGAGGTGTTTGTGCATTTCTAAATAAAGCGTACACCCTCTGCCCCTATTCCTATCTATTCCCCAAAGCTTTTTGAGACCTGATCAGTTATGCCTTGATGTTTGGCCTAAACTCCAGCCTTCTGGTTGGGAGTGTTATTGAGGGTTCTGTATAGGATTTTAAACTCTTCCTCAGCTTGGGAAATTTAGGATTTTTATCAAATAAAGCAAGGGAAAAAGGGGATGCAGGGAAAGAAGGTGGTGGTGGTTGTGTCACCAAGTACCTTCTGATTCTTAGTGATCCTGTATAGGGTTTCTGAGGCTGTAAATCTTTACAGGAGCAAAAAGCTTCATCTTTCTTCCTCAGAGCAACTGGTAGATTCAGACTACTGACCTTGCAAAGAAAAAAAGGTTATAAATAGCTCCCATTGTAGAGGGCTTTCTTCCCTTGCTCAAGGCAGAATTGGCCATTTTCTTGAGGGAATGGGGCCAAGGTATGGAGCATCTTTTTTATCTGGTGCCAAAAAAAAGGGACCCTAAACCCAAAGAAAACAATTGCCATTAAGTTCGTTTCAATGCATTGCATCCCCATGTGTGTCAGAGAACTATGCTCCCTAGAGTTTTCAATGGCAATGATCTTTCAGAAGTAGATCGCCCAAGCCTTTCTTTCTAGTGAGTAGCTGAATGTTCAGCTATTTGTTCTACCCAGAGTGAGCTTCAAGTACAGTGATTGCTGGTGCATTCACTCCTGAGACCAGAGCCCTCTAATAAACATCATTAGTCTCCAGAGCAGACTGAAACTATAGCATATCTGGACTGTAAATACAACACCGGAAGTTGCCATTTTGCCTAGAACTAAGAAACAGGGTACATTTTTCAGATGTATTTTTTCAGATGTCTAAGAAAGGGGCTAAATTCATGTTTGTGAGCATGTGATTCATGGTCACGTGAGAAAACAACGGCAATGTTGGTAGAAGCCCCAGAGTTATCTTTATGTTGCTGGATGATGAGGCGATTGCTTAACGAAATTGAACTTGACAATTAGTGAAGGGTGGTGTGGTTTTTAATCCCTGTGGAATCTGTTAAGTTTCAATGGGTTTAATTAAGTCTGCCATATTAAAAGTAAATTTTATGTCCAGGTCATTGAACCTAAAGGGAAGGGTGGTGCCAACTAAAACAGCTGAGTTTGAGATTAAGTGATAATCAAAGCAAGTACCAGGTACAGAATTAAGACATACCCTTATTTCTAAGGTTTAGTATCTACACCATTAAATACATTTTAAAGTAAAATTTGGTCTTATGCTTTCCCTATAGGATACGTGCTTTTAAATCTCTATGTTTTGTGGTGGTGCTGTCAATAACATTTCCAAATTAACCAGATGAAAAAATTCTTCCGAAAGTAGTTTCTTGTGACATGCTTTTTTTTTTTTCAATGTTTTATTGTGAATTATGTGATAGTTTACATGGGAGAACATTAGTTTTACATTCATTC